AACATTATTGGTATCTATTTTTATTTTTGAAATTTACCGGTAGCTGCTGCATTTCCCACCCTAGGCTTATACTCGAGTCAATAACTTTTCCAGTTTTTTGTGGTAAAATTAGGTTTTTTTGCTTATATTCGGGTCGGCCTATACTCGAGTATATACGGTACCAGTTAAATGAACCCTATTTAGCTACTTTGTGCCAGCTTGTCAACTCAGATACAATGAGCAAAAAACATTATAATCCAGATCACTTTTCACTGTCTAAGCTCTAATACTTTCATTTAAAGATATTCATCTTTTAAGTACTACAATAAAACAAAGACAGTCACAAAAGACAGCTTGTTACCCTCCTTCTGTTCAGGAGCACAGCCACCAAAATAGAGCTGATGCAAGATATTTTGCTGCCTCAACCAGATAAGATCCTTCCATTCTCTGTATTTCTTTTATAAAAGCCAGCCAGGTTGACAGTTGTCTTTGACTTCAACCCTTCCACTATATCTGCAGCTAGCAAGTTCATGTTAGGATCTGATCATACAAGTACTTTGACCTTTCCACCAACATGAATGTGCATAGTGCAGAGAAAAAGCATGAGGTCAAAATGCAATAACAAAATCAAGAATAGCAAATGAGGTATCTAAGTAGATGAATCCAAGAGATGATGGCAGGTCATGAATTCTATAATATAACATGCCCAAATATTTCCTTTCAGTGACAGCTTGACAATCTAAGCCTTGTATAATTATACAATACCCGTTGCATAAGTCATGATTATTTAAAATTCTCATCTAAGGTTTACTTCTACAATTTCTGTGTATTCACCACTATATTTTTTTAATCAAATTTAATTTGAATGAATAGAAATACAAATTTGATTTAGATCACAATACACTGTACACCACAAAGCATTTCACAGCAAAAGCTACATGTTTATTAAAAGATATGGTCCTTTATATTTAGTTCAGATATAAGATTTTTTTAAAAAGATAATAAAAGATGTTGTAGTTAAGGCATCAGGTTAGAAACTGGGAGACCATGAGGTCTGGTCTTCAGCACAAGACCAGGTGGGTCACCTGGGGCAGTCACGGTGTCTCAGCTCTTGGAAGGAGAAGAAGGCCAGTTCTGGGGGTGAAAAACATGGCCAAGAAAACTTCAGGGACTTGTCCAGGCAGCCACTAGGAATCAAGATTGATTTAAGGATACTGCCACCTAAAAAGGAAGATAAAAATTGCCTTCTGTCCATTTTCCATCCATTAAAAACTCAAAAAAATGTTGTCTCTTTTTATGGAACATAAGAATCTATGGCTACAATAATGGCATTGGCTTGAAAATGTAGACAATTATGCAAATGTCCCAGATGTCTTCCATCTATGATCAAAACTCTCCCTGATACCCTGCCTCGTTTCTTCTTTATTTTTTGTCCCAATTTCCCCCAAATTATTTCCTGATAAGGAGCATGAATCCTATTTTTTTAGTTCATGGCTCTTCAAGTTACCCAACTGATAATGCAAATGCAACATTTAAAATCGAATATAGCTAAATACAGTAGTTGGACTTAGATCTCTTTTAAAGTGTGGCATGCCCATCTGACTGAGGGAGTTAAAAGCTGCTTTTCTGCCTAAAAGAATCATGAGGGAAACCATCTGAGTACTTCAGGCTGAACATTAAACATTAACTGCAATAAATTATATAATATATTTATGCGGTTGAATTTGAAGAAGCACACGTAGAATGAAGCAACTGCTAATTCAAGAGGTTCCATGGTAATTCACACAATATTATAAAAGGAGGTTTTCATAGTAGTTCATACCTTTCTGCTAGTATAAGAAGTTATTTCACCCTCTTTTTCCTAAACCAAGGAGCATATTTATGTTTCATTTTGTTTTTTCTGAATCAGTGCTCTGCACAATATGCAAAATATATTGTGAATAGAAGATAGCACCTGTCAGAATATGAGGATCTTTTAGATT